AGCCGCCACCGAGGCGGGTGCGGTCGGCGGCGAGCTCCTCGGCGGTGCGGTGGCGGGGGCCGGTGGGGAGGACGACGGGATCTTGGTCGAGGTCGGGCTTGGCGGTGAACTCGGCGAGGGAGTAGGTTTGGGCCTTCTTCTTTTTGGGCTTGGTGGCGGCGGCGACGGCGAGGGAGGGGAAGTCGGCGAGGGGTTTGGTGTCGTTGGGGTTCTGTTGAAGGAGTTCGGCTTCGTGTTCCTCGGAATCGAGGGCCCAGGCGCCGGGCTTTGACCACGCAGACACAGTAGCCGCCATTAGCACAGCTTTCTTCTTTCTCTTTTTCTTTGTTTCTTCTTCTCTTTGCGTTTCTCCTTCTCACCCACGCGCTGGACACTTATATACCCATGCCACCGCTCCCAATTTCCCTCTTCGAACTTACAGTCCTATCCTTACTAATACACTAATTACAATTTCTTAGGGTTTCGTGAAAATATTAATTCATCACATAATATCTATTTCTATTAATATCAATATTATATTTTTTTATAACTGTTTTATCATTTTCATTTTTACGAAGATTGTTTTATCTTTTGTTATATATGTTTTTATTTTACTCTAAATTTGAAAAGTAACTATTCATGAAAAAAAAAAATTTCAGTGAAGATAAGTAGTGTTCTTTTCTCTACTAATAATATATAAGGAGTATAATATTTTTTAAATAATTAAGAGAATTAGAATAAAAAATAAGAGATAATTGTATAATTTCACAAAATTTTAAAGAATATTTATTTAATTTACTCTTATTAATAGTAACATAATTCACTGGTATATATCATTAGGGACACTTTTATTTAAGCCAAATAAGATTATTATGGATAAGAAAAAAAATTAATAATTTTTTAAGACGATATTACGCATACTTATTATTTAAATTAAATGATAAAAAAAAATTCTTTATATCAATACATATATTATTTAATCTTTTTATTTATTACAATTTTTTCTCATGTTTTAGCCTGTAATTTCGATCACTTGCAATTAATTCTTGATGTAGGAGAGTTTAAATCAAAATTGAAGTATGATAATAAGAATAATTTCTTAACAGTTTTAAAGTTGTAAGAAATTAAATTTCAATACTAATTTTTCAAAATATAAAAGTCAAGGCAAAAAATAAGAAAATCAATTTTTTTGTGGCTTAGGAGATATATTATTGATTTACTAAACGATTATTAATTAAAATAAAAATAACATAACTTCACTTATATTTCACACGTATATGGTCAATTTTGGGTAAGAAGTTTAAACAAATTAAATGTCAATATTTTATTAATTTTAAGAGAATGCTAGTAATATATTATTTAATACAAAAAATTATTAGTTAAAACTTCTAATAAGTGAAACTGATTAATTAAAATAAAACTTACAAAATTTCGTAAAGTTTGTCCAAAATTTCGTACATTATACAATGTATTACTACCCCATCTCTGTACCACTTCACCAAATTTTCTCGAAAAGAAAAGGAATCTACGCAGATAACACAGATGGTGTCTCTCAAACATATTCATTGACACGGTATTTCTAATGGATGTTCTAATTCTAGTTAAAAGAAAGAAAAAGTATTATTAGATAATCAACATTAAGATTAACGCGGAGTTCGCTTCGAATTGAAGCAACAATTTCACGAATTATTTATACATCCCCAATAAGTGAGGAATGAGGATAGCACAAAGTTTTCAAAAGATAGATGCCATGTAAAAGTACGCTAAACTCGCCACCAGTAGTAGCAGGTTCATTGGTGCGAATAACTGTAATGAATCCTCTTTATTTGCTAGTGCCCTCAAATCTTAAGAAAGAAAATCAGGATAAATAATAGATAACAAAATCTCTACCAAAATACTCAACTTTGGTTGCAGAAGATCAGAAGAATAAATATCTTCAGCATTTCAGCAGAAGCCATCGAATCTATTATCATTTACCTAATTCAAGAAAAGAAACGATAAATCTAATAGTTAATTAAATGAGAAAAATACAGACGGAACTATATGAACAATTGCCAGCTTCCTGCCAAAATAATATATCTGTGAACAATTGCTAACTTCCTGCCAAAATAATATATCTATGTGAAGAAAAATTACACCGGCTACGATGGACAATAGAACATGGCATAAGATCGCTCCAAAATTTTCATTTGTTGTAATGAGACACCAATCTCATGTCAGTTTGAAAATGGTTCAGCACTTTAATCACGATGGGCATATCACACATTCTGAGATGGCTTCAGTCAATAGCTGCGTGCAAACAGCATGGGGATAAATGGTTAGAAAACTATTAGCACCGTGGATGCTTGAATTCATTAAGCTCCAGAACAAGCGATCCACACTGCAAATGCACCATATCATGTGACCATAGGCAGGCTCGCGTCATTGTATTGACTCTGATTGAAGATGTTCTCTCACATTATCCTAACCTCAAGGGAAAACTTAACGTTCAAGATATTCGGAATCACGTATGAAGATCAGGTGTTCATCCTCAACACCCTTCATTGAATCTTCACCAATGAACCACGTCAAGGTCCCTGCATCAAATAGAGAAGATACATCATTTCATCAGGTTGAATGCTATACAGAAACCACTCCGAGTTGTAAGCGTATAAATGCATTAGCAAACAAATGGAAACTGGCATGAATCAGATTGAAAGTAATATATTATTCTGTACTACTTTGCGTATTATTAGACTCTTCCTGTTCTCTAGTCATGTGCAATATTATTGTTCCTGAAAGAACGGTGATGAATCCACATAGCTCAGAGGCTATGCTGCTCACATCCTGACCAGACCAATCCTGAAAGTAAAAATAGTCAAGCTTGTCATATTCTATTGATCAACAAAAAGAAAAGATTGAGATATCACCCAAGGAAGCTAAGAAATATGAATCTATTATCATACCTTAAACATTATTGCACTGGCAATAATAGTCAGAGTTGTAAACATTACATAGTATACAGGAGAAACAATTGTGGCATTGAATGTATCCAGAGCCTGAAATAGTGGAATAGTGAAATAATCTCAAAATTTGTTTAAAAAATAAGGGAGTTAAAGAATTAACATAGATGGATTATAAGAAAAGTTTGATATCAGTAGGAACGCAAAGAAACATGTCAGTTAAGAGAAAACAATACTGGAATCCTATTTGCCAGTCAGTATTAAAAAAAAGGGTTTGGATCAAGACTGTGGAAAGAAAACCTCCCGAGAGTAAGTATAAATTTTACAATGGGTCATATTTCAAGAACTGTATCCTGTTCAAGCATCACCTTTTTTTTCTAGAACAAAGATGTGAGAATTCAGAATGCTTGATCTACTATCAACTATATTAATGCTTCCTATATTGTAGATTCCTATCAACTGAGGTGCATCATTTGCAGTATCAATCACTTCACACCATAATTGAAATGTAATCGACAGATCATGTAGGTCCTTGATTTGCTATCTACATGATTAGCTGTTCATAGTTTATGCAAGAAGGTAGGGTTTGTCACATGCAACTTGCAGCAAGCCATCACTTTATAGGCAGTATGAGTTCTATATTAATTCTAGTTTAATCTAAAATTCCAAATGCTCTGCTCTTTTGTCTAGTAAGCGAAACTAGAAGACCATCCATTGATTGGTTTTCCTCCTTAAAAAACAACTATAATAACAAAATCAAAGAAGCATTGCCCACATGGAAACTGCACTAGAATAAGGAACCATGAATCATACATCAAATGCAGGCCAAACTGGCAAAATTTCCCTTCAATATAATATTAGCAAACAAGAGTTTATAGTTACAGTTATAAGTTTCACCATTCACTCACCCTATTAAGGTAATTCAACTGTGTAATGACACAGATTGTAGCCACCGTAAGAAAAAACCAAGTCTGAGGATAAGCTACTTGACTTATTCCATCAAGTGTAAGCTTTATTGCAATTCCAATGGCCTTTATGCTCACCACCTGAAAATTTTAAAAATTGATGTACAAAGTAGCATGCAGTTAGTTCAAGTGTTACAATACCAATATGAGAATTCATCACATCCGAACGGACATAATTACCGTGAGTGAACCAACTAATGAACAAATTCCCAAGTAGACCAACATATTAGTCTGTCCATAGCGAGGTTCAAAGTGTATGATCAAGGCCAAAACAACCGAAACTGTTGCCACCACATATGTCAGAAATGCTGTTTAAAAAGGGGGATATTGAGAACATCAGTTAATAGACCAGAGTATGTGAAAATTACTTTAGGGTAAATTAAAATGGGATTATAAAACCCAACCTGGTTGAGTAGCCAGATCCCATATTTCTTGGACAGAATCCGGAGTCTGCTCTTGTGGTGCATGAATGACAATAACAACCGATCCCACAATGCATGATACACACCCCAACACCCCCATCTTTGGAAGCCGCTCGTTCAACAAGAAGTGAGACAAAATAGCACTAGCAACATAATACACTAGACATGTTAGTCCTACCATACAAAACACAACATTCACCCATCACCAGAACCATAACAATTTCAACTAAAGCCAAGAGTACCTGACAATAATACTAAGCGCACCAAGGGGAGTTACGAGAACCGCCGGAGCATAGATATAAGCCACAAAATTTGCAACCTCCCCAATAATCACTGCAAGCAAACAGTTCAAGATCCAAGTAAAATCTCATTCCAAAACTGAAAACCTAGAGAACCTGAGCGAGTGAAGAAATCAACCTGCCAAACTTACTTGTAACCATGCCAGCCCACCAAAGCGGCTCTAGTAGATAAGTATAACCTCCAACTCCTGCAAATTCCAAAAATCAAAATATCAAAAACTGGATCACAACACGAGCAATAAGTATCCCATGGATCTGATGAAAACCACCGTAGACCATACAATGCAATTGCTTAGTCACAAAGGATAATCATGAAACGTGAATTTGTTTATTAGCAATGGAGAAACAAAATTGACCTGCACGAGTACCGCGTGCAGCAGCACGCTTGAGACCCTTCTTCTTCAAGATGAAGCTTGAGCCAATGAATACACTGGAACCCATGGCAAGTATTAACCCTTTGCAATTCTCCGAAACCCCCATCTCTGTGACTCTCTCCAATTCCCTAGTTGCTTCGTTTTCCCGCCAAAAAAAGAGAAGAGAGATGAAATTGGGTGTAACGAAGAGGCACGATAATCGGACGCAGAGAAGAGAAGGGTAACCGGTAAGCTTGGTTAAGGCCTAAAGGGGTCGCTGAAGATGCAATTTGCAAGACGCTTGCTTTCAATTTCAGTTCCTCTTATTCGGACTTAACAACTCCTTCACTTATCAGAAGTTTCCGCGAGGGTCTCATCCCGTGCTTCGCGAGAAACGCGTCCTCAAATGCGCCTTCTGCTATCTCTGCGACTGTGCCTGGGATATTTTATATTTACCTAATCATCGGTATAAAAAATCAATCATATTTTTTAATAATATTATATAATTATTTATTTTATAAAATAATTTAAAATATATGATTGATCTTCTTTTATATTTATTAATATGGTCAAGGTATTTTATACTTTTATTAAAGATAAAATAAAATAAAAATTAAGTAATAAATATAAATTAATCTAATATTATAATTAGTCAATTAATTTTAAGATTTTAATTTTAAGAAAAATATTATTTTTTTAATTTTTTAAAATAAGGGTATAAGGATCAGGTGACGAAAGTAATTACTAAAAGAAATATCCTCGTTATATATTATCACAGATGTCTCATCCCAGTGCAGACGTGTCAGATAACTATTGGTTGCCTTGTACTCTATTTTTGCTTACGTCACTTCTTGATGACGTGGCTCAAGGTCTTCACACGCTACGCGATGAAACGGAGGATATTTTCATTAGCTGTCACTTTTCTTTTTTTTGTTTAGATCCTGCAATTTGCAAGGATTGCCATAATGGACATCGTGTTTGGGATTCTCTTATTTATCTCATATCTCATGGATGATATTGATATTAGATAAATATCTAATGAACTTAAATCTAATCCACTAACCGATGCTATATCAAAATACGATTAATGTAGAAGTCCACTTTTTAAAAATACATTTACGTTTATTAATTAAAAATTTATTAAAAGTTATAAAATAAAGTGTAGAACTTGTTAAATCATATTTTTTTAATAAATTTTAATCATTCAAAGAGAACGTGTTTTAAAAAAAAAACGTTGGTAATTAATAAGGAATCCAAAAATTTTAAGTAATAGAGATAATATTCATAGTATTAAATTTATAATAATTTTATAATATTTTTTGAAATATAAGGATACATCAAATAGTTTTTTTATGAGATTTTATATTTTAAAAATATTAAATATTTTTTATTTTTAAACACTTTTAAAAATATCTCTTTTGATATGAGTAATTAAAAAAAATATTTAATCATTTGTATTCTTTATCAAAATAATTTTTTTGAAATAAATAAATTTTGATTTTCATCATTTAAAAAAGTTTCTCTATTTTTCATCCCTTTAAATTTTAGAATTTATAATTTTAGTTCTTGAAAAGTAAAATTTTTTTGGTTTTAGTCTTTATAAAAGAAATTTGATTTTCATTCATATAATATTATTTTAAATATTTATAATTTTTTTTAAAGTGTCACATGTTATTGTGGACATTGTAAGTGTCACATAGGATAGTACTTAACTTTTTATAAACATTAAAATAATAATTTTTAATTTTAGAAAAATACAAAAAAATATTTTTATTAAAATCAAAATTAAAATTTGATCATTTTACAAGTATAAAAAAAATTAAGTTGATAAATAATTTCAATTATTATCATAAGGAAATAATTATAAATAGATTGAAATAATAACTATTAATTGTTTTTATTTTAACAAATATTGTAATTATTCTTTTTTTTTTCTTTAGATTGTTCACTTTGGAATGAATTTGGCTTTTTTTTTTTTGTTTTTTTTAATGAGCAACTCACATTGAAGCAATCAATTAACAATATTAATAAGTGCTCATATAAATCATATAATGTACTCGAGGAGGTATTCGTTTACTTCAGAGTAAGTCTACCTAAACTTATTCCATTCAATAACTCATGTTCTATATCAAATTTCAACGATCAAACCATTAAATTTAAAGTTCATAATGCATAAATCAAATCTACAATTTTTTTATAAATTTAAAAATTATTTGATACTTCATTAATTCAAATCAATGTATAAAATAATTTTATGATTATCCATCGATTTGAATTAATGAAGTATCAAATAATTTTTAAATTTATAAAAAAATTGTAGATTTGATTTATGCATTAAGAACTTTAAATTCAACAATTAAATCATTAAAATTTAATGTATAACATGAGTTATTAAATAAAGTAAGTCTAAGTATATTTACTTATAGAATAGACGGATCCCTCCGCAATGCACTACATATTACAATATTGGTCATTAACTTCTTTTATCAATAACTGAATTCACTTACTTTAAACCCATTTAACTTATTCTAATAAAGAGATAAAATTCATCACACCTGAATTAAATAAAATAGTGTACCTGTAACTTATTTAATGATATTAAATTTGAATCTTAAAAATACATATGTATTAATTATTTTAAAAAAGATATTCATAATAATCTTTCCCACTTAAATATAATTGATATAAATTAAAATATCAACACATGTAATCTTTATGTTTTACCATAGAGCATATAATTTTCTTTCAAGACATAAACTTTGGTTATGAACTTAGACTATACGTGATAGAAGTTATTGGGGGAAGGATTTTAGTAAAGTTTAATTTTTCTTTGGCCATAAAATTATTAAATAATGGATGTTTTCGACATCATCCATGTTATTATTTGATTATGAGTCTATAACATATATTGTATCCATGTTTTCTTATAGAAATAAATCAAGTCTTTAATACGCTTAAGCGTGAAAGTTCTATGATGGGGGATTGCATTTTTTTCAAGTGTTCCTCCTTGGATCTAAATTTTTCTTATTGTTAATATTTTGTGTATTTTTCTTTCATAGTTTTTAGTTTGGGCTTCTATCATCCTTGTGTACCAAAAAAAAAAGTCAATGATGTTGTTCGTATAGTTTTACTTTGCTAAAACATCAAGATTTTTTTTAATCACCATAATTTTTACTTGATTTCTACATGTATTGAGAGTATTCTTTTCAATGAAGTGATATAAATATTTTTTTTTTGTAAAAAAAACGCCTCGAGTCATTAATTTAAACAATACTAATATTTAAGAAAAATGAAGGTTAAAAAAACAAATAAAAATATTTAGATAAAGAAGAGGTCACAAAATCTATTATTACTTACATTAGCTAGTTTTTTTTCTTTCATAGCATGGATATTTTTAATAAAATAATTTTAAAATTATTATTATTAAACATGATGAAAATACATATCTCGAAATCTAGTAAAGTATAACAAGAGGTGTTTTATCGTTAATAATTAAATTTATGGACTTTTAAATAAAAATAAATTACTGAAATAACATTTTTGTAAACTAATAAGAAAATTACGTAATCTATTACACTATCTTTACATATATTGTTTTTATAATTATATTATTGGTATGAATTATCTATTAATTTTGATAATGACTAAACTTAATTTACAAGTTATCTTTAACAAAGTTTTCTTTGACAATCATTGTTTTCATCCATAAAGATTTAAATTCGAAATATTGTGTAAAATGAATAATGGAGTTCAATTTTGCTCGACCAACTACTTATTAGTTAACTTTACATATTTTACATGGTGCATGAATATTCAAAATTTAAATTATAAATTCATTAATTCTCACTTCATATAATTTTAAATATTTAATTATTTTAAATGATAGTATTGTCAAGAGTCATCCTTTAATGAACGAGAGTATTTTCAAAAGTTTTTTAATTCAATAGATTTGTTTTTTGATTTTTTGTAACATCATATTTCTTTCAATTTATATATTTTGATTATTATAGGTTATAAATTGAGTTTAAATTTTTGAATATGTATACAATAAAAGTTAAAAATAACATTGTGTGTTTAGATGCTTTATTTAATTATGTGAATTATATGATTAAATTGTTGTCTTGTCATTATTGTTGTTGTTTTATAACTTTGAGGATAATGGATCCTTGAGAGTTAAGTTGTCATTAAGTCAATGGTGGTTAGAGTTAGTTGGATCAACAAGAGTAAGGGTGTATAAGTTCTTTCTTAAGACATTAATCTCATAACTTCATATTTTTTAAATAAAAAACTAAAAAGAAGCTAGAGAGAAGATCTTTAGAGTCAAAGATCTTTCCTCCCTCGTTTCCTTTGATTCCTCCTGACATCTTCTAACAGCTAGTTAGAGTCAGTAGATTGGTGATTAAAAGCTTCCAAAGTTGAGAATCCTAAGTGAGAACCATGCGAAGTTTGTTTCCTTCTTCTTCTTCTGTTGTCTTTTGGAGCGATTGGAGACAAAGGAAGTTTGTTGATTAAAAAGTAGTTGATGCATGATTGTTCTTTACTGTGTGGTATCATTAATTATAGTTGAAATTAGTTCGAATTCATGAGATAATGAGTGCTTGAGTTTGGTGCTTGTGAGTGAAATTGATGATTCTTAAAATGTAATGGTTATTTGTTGCTCGTTGAGTTGATTTTGATTTTTTTATGATGTTTATATGTTGAATTATATGTTGCATGTTGGTTTTCTTTTTAGTTTCAAGTAGATTGACCTAAAATGATATTTTGTTAAGTGCGAAAAATTCTCATTGTGTCGAGCACACCTTCATGGCAGTAGGAATGACTTAAGTTAGTAGCTCTCTACCTTGATCACCCCAAGCATGAGATTGGTAGCACGAGTCATGGACCAATGAAGGACTTTCTAACTTAGTCGTGTTGGATGTGGAGTGATAAGCATTGGCCATGAGTGCTCGAGGAGCTTTCTGACTTGTTGACATTGAATTGCAAGTGGCGTTATATGTGATCAAGATAAAGATTCTCTGCTTAAACAACACCACGTAATGTTGTGACATCATACATGAGTCAAGTAGAGATTCTCCACCTGAATGAGGTCTGACATGGGTTTAGCCACACAATATAATATTGACTCAGAGGTTATTTACCTCATCCATGTCGAGTGTAGGTAGATTAACCCCGAGCATGGACGAGTCTGAGTCTCTCTACCTCAAATAAAATGTGATGATTTAATTTGTTTGCCTATTAAAGTGTGATGATTCCTTTATATAGTTTATGATGTATGATAATGTTTCAAGTTGTTAAAGTTGTAAGTTGATACTTGATTAAATGTTAATTAAGTTGTAAGATTATAAATATAGAAATGACAAGGATTAAAATGATTTAAAAAATTATAAATATAGAAATTACAAAATTTTATCTTAAACTATAA